GGTGAGGGGCTCCGGCGGCGCTCGCCAGGGAAGCGCAGCGCTGTCCCGGCTGCCCCTGCCCTTCTCAAAACATGAATGAAAACGAAGAGCCGGCAATGCATGCTGCACTGGGGGGCTGGAGTCTAACAAGGGGTGCTGTGAGTCTACTGAGGGGTGCCTCGAGTCTGCTGTGGGGTGCTTCAGTCTAACAAGGGGTGCCTTGAGTCTACTGAGGGGTGCTTTGAGTCTGCTAGGGGGTGCTTGAGTCTAACAAGGGGTGTCTTGAGTCCAGAGGGGTGCCTCAAGTCTGCTATGGAGTGCTTCAGCCTAACAAGGGGTCCCTTGAAACAACTCAGGGGTGCTTGAGTCTAACAAGAGGTGCCTTGACCCTAGAGAGGTGCCCGGAGTCTAAAAAGGTTGAGAACTATGACTGTATTGGATACAGGGGCAGGGCGCTGCACTTGTTAAAGAAGGCACTGGCTTTATAATGCTCTAATGGGCAAGAGGAAAAGAGATTTTTGTTGGTGTGTTTTTTGCCCCTCACAATCACCTTACACCAAAGATTCAAAGTTCAAGGCAAGCCCCACTTCCTGCCCAAAGCTCTTAGTGTCCCTGTAAACAGATAAGACTTTGGTGTTCAAGGTCTGAACTCAAAGGCTTACAGAGAAGACAGCTCAAATCCAGAAAAGACAGCTTCAAAAATTAAAAAGTAGCCAACTTTGCCATGATTTGGTTATGATTGACAATTAGGGTTGCTTTACTATCCTGTGATTTATTTACATACTTAAATATATTTTAATCAAGTCTGGTGCAGTGTTTCTTTCATTTTCAATTATTAAAAAGACCTATTTTCAAGAATAATTTGTTTACTGAAAACAATAATAGTATAATCATTATAATTTTCCACATTCTGAAAACTAAAAGTTCTTTTTTTTTATTTTTCAGTTTTGTTTTGCTCTCTTTCTTTTCTCCCTTTTTCCTTTGGTCACCAGAAGGGGGAAAAGAAAAAGAAATCAAGTTGTTAGTTGGGGAAAAAAATAACATAATATTTTATCTAAAACAAGTTTTAATGCAGTTTATTCAAAGAATGGCTGGGTTGCCAGGAGATAGCATAACGGTAAAAAATTGCTAAAGGGCAAAGAGAAAAGGTATTATCCTATCATGTTCTCTACTAAGTAAAACACAAAACCAGCATTACGTGGAGAGAGCTTTAAAAGACCTTGACAGCTTTTAAGGTAATTAGCAAGTATAAAAAATCCATCTAGCCTTTAGCTCAACAGCCTAGTAGGCTTTAATGCACAAACTTCTCAGTAAAAAGAGAAATAAACAGCCTAAATATAGCCAAAATCAAAGGGTGGGGAAATCTCTCTCCTGTCAGTTACACAGCAGAAAACTTTTTACATTACTTTAAGAGGGCAGTGATATCTCTTCCTGAACATGAAGAACTTTCCACAAAACAGTCTCTGTCGATTTACCGTACCGGTAATTGAGCTGTCAGGAACTGCATAATGTCACCGTAGTCAAAACAGATAAACCCTTGCCATTAAAAAAAAAGTCAGTCTCGAAGAACATAAAGTTGTTGTAGCTATGTTACGCTTATAGAATTTTCTTTTAGGAGTGGAGATATTCATCTCCAAACATGATTCCCCTGTGCAATGCATGGGACATAAAGATCTGTTTTCTCTGAAAGAATATTGGCTTCTTTTTTAGCTTGCAAATATAATGCATTCTTTTCTTAACATCTGAACTAAAGAGAACAATGCAATGCTTAAAAAACCCTTCTGGTATTAATCAATAACTTAAATGTTCTGTCATTAATATATTTAATAAGGATACCAACCAACATGTTCTCATTTAAAGGACAACAATGTATTACCCTGGATATTTTCCATTATTAAAAAGATTATATTTTTAGTAGCTTTCTCACCATCTGCTCTATTGTTTAGTACTCTAAAATTATTACCTCAGTATTGTTTTGTTTTGCAAAGTTTCAACTTTGCAGCATGCTAAAGCATTATCTTTAAACTAATAGTTTCCATATATGCACAAGAATTTTTAGGACTTTAATTTATAGTGCTGCTTCAATTGCCTTTGAACCTATGCTCTCCATTTTCAAGCAACTTTGGCCAGAATAGTCTATTTTGAATGCTCTAAAGGTCTGAAGAGCTCCTTTTAGGGAGACTTCTAAAATTAACTTCTCATCCAGGGTTTGCTAATCATATCTGTAGGTTGAGCAGCCTTGTTGATCAAGCATACGTGGGTTAAGACGGACACAAAAAGTAATTCTCCTGCCAGACTCAAGCAAACCTTCCAGGTCCAGTGTTTCTCTTCCCTTCATCTGCATTGAATTATACTTGCTTCTGAGAAGGATAGGAACTTTTCCAGCAGACACAATGGCTGCGTCCAGATGAGCGCAGACGTTTGGTTCCTTGGGGACAAGTAGCAGTGCTGCACCTTGTGCTGCAGCTACATGTCCCCAGGGAATGCCCATGCCACGCACTTTGGCGTGCAGCAAGTTACCCCGGGTTGCATAGGGAAGGCTGGGGCCAGCACTGTGCAGCCTTACCTTACCCCAGCAGCCTTACCTGGGGTTCTGGAGGCCTGCTAGGGAGGGCCTGCTGGGCAGAACTTGACCTCACTTTTCAGGGGTCAAAAAAACCCGCAGGTCTCCAGGGGTCAAAAAAACCCTGCGGGGAAAAAATTGGAGCAGCACACACATGGGCAGCGCACCCTTGCAACAAGAACACCTGACTCTGCAGTATGTGGCGCTGCAGATGTGTTTGTGGGGCCACATACCACACGGCCGCGCTTGTCTGGACGCGCCTAATGTGTTTTCATTAATTTACCTTTTGGAAGCCATAAGACACAGAGAGAAAACCTAGTGAAAGGTAACTTCATACTTTCAAAATGTTTCCATTCAACTATTGGCCTCCCAGGCTCCCTCTGCACCCACAAGTAGAAAGTTTGGCTCCCTCCACACCCTCCCCAGGCTGGATCTCACTGCTGATGGGAGCTCCCAGCTGAGGAAGCATGCCATGGTCTCCTGGGGCTGGGAGCCTGGGTTAGCTGGTCGGGGTTCCCAGCCACAGGAGCACAGGGGAGCTTTTGACTCTGATGCGCTCCCCTGGCTGCCAGGACTCCAGCGTGCTCCAGAGGGTGGGAGACTGAATGTATGGCCAGGTCACTACTAAACCAGTTAATCACATCTTAAGTGTAATAAGCAGAAAGAACAGAAGTTCACAATAAAGGTTGTCAGAATCTGGAATGGGCTTCCAAGGGCGGTGGTGCTCTCCCCTACCTTGGGGGTCTTCAAGAGGAGACTGGACAAGCATCTAGCTGGGGGCAAGCACCTGGCTAGGGCCATATGACTCCAGCGCTCTTTCCTGCCAGGGCAGGGGGTCAGACTCGATGACCTACTGAGGTCCTGTCTAACCCTAACATCTATGAATCTTTGAATCTATGAATGCACGTCAGGGGCCTCAGACATCACTGCTATCACACAGGAGCTTCTTTAAGAAGCTCTGGCCCAGGCCAGTTAGAACCAGTTATGTTGTACAGAGGCTGGTATTACACAGTACGGGTTAGTTAGAATTCAGGTAATGAATGAAGCAAGCAGATGCCTCAGCTCTGAGCAAATTCTTAATAACACAGCCACTAACAAACATGACATTAAACAGCAGGGGGTATAACAACATAAGCTCACTAGCAGGTTTCATCTCTTGACTACTACAGTAAGCTGCCTCTTGCCCCCGCCCCCTTCACCTTTACTGTCATTTCATTCTCAGGTGGCACTTTTGAAGGCAGAGTTAACCTTACCAAAGCTGCTATCTCCTAAGCATCATTTTGTTAGGTCATTGCGTTACCAGAAGTCTTAGCAGCCAATTTACTCCTTTCGCTGGACTCTAGCTAGGATCTGCAAAGGATCACTTTGGCTTGCTGCTCATCCCTAAATGTAAGCTATTTTGCTAAATTCAGTTGTCTGGGATCAGGCTTACAGGACTCTTGCTGCTAAGGATTGGGCAAGTGTAAGAAATCACATCAACCCCTTTTCCTTAATTTTGTTGTTTCTGAGACATTTCACAGAGATGCAAAGGCAAACAAAGATGTCTGAAACACCTTTCTGCAACTAATTAAAAGGCATGTTACCAAGGCTTCACAGAGAAGATAAAGGGAATGTGAGAAATATGGCTCCGCACCAAAGTGCCGAGAGTTATTTCTCGGATCTACAAGCCTTTAACCTCTCTCTTTGTGAAATCCCTATCAAAATGGAGCTTTAACAGTGAAACATGAAAGATGGTATGGACTTTTATTGAGATAGCCAGCCAGAGTCTGATCGTAGTGAAATTAATTGTTCCACAACCTTAAAAGAACTCAGTTATGAACCATTTTTTCTGGCACGTTTTTGATCTGAGGTTCTTAGGCTAGGGACAGGTGTTTTATTTGTCCCTGGACAAGTTGTGTCTGTATTTGTCTTGGAACAGAAATATCCTGGGATTGTGTGTATGCACATTGCCCTTCTAATCAGGGTTTAGTGAGTGGCTGAATGCACTGCTACTTTTCCACCATTGATTCAATGATGCAATCCCATTCAGATGCACTTTTGTGATGTCCAGGGATAAACTGCTAGTACTTCTTATCCAGTGGACTTTTTTAGATTTATCCTAGGACAACAGACATGGATGTCTGAACTATTGTACTTTGTCCTGAGATAAAAGGGTTTGTCCTGGGACAAATACAACATTCGTTTGCAGCCTTAGTTGACAGTTAGACATTGTCAACTACCAAGAGACTGTATGCAGTGTGCTGCTGACAACTACCATGTTTTTTACAGGGTTCTTCTTTGGCTTCCTGATATCCAGTAAGATCTTTCACATGGGATAGGTGAGTGCACTGGTCCATGGTAGCAAGGACTGAAGAGCAAGAGCAGAGGTTCTC